AGCTTTGTGTAGTCATACACAGTGGACTTTGTAGATGTGGAGGATGCTTCCACAGAAGGGCTGATCTCAGGCTGCTGATTAAACTTTGGATCAGGATGTCCATGTATCCGAGCTTCATGTTTTCTTAGTGACATTGGCCTTTGATATGTCTTGCTGCAGTATCTGCATGTGATGTCATTTGTCTGAATGCCATAACGAGGAAGGTTTGGCACAGAAGGGCTGCCATGATTCTTGACAAACTGGCAGGCATGTCCAATGATGTACTCCATCATGGTTTCTTTGTCCCCAACTGGACCTTCATATTCTGGTTGAGGTTTAGCATTTATGGATTCCATATGGAAGTGATGAAGGCCACCAGCAATGATGTAGGCAGTGGTAACCTTATCCATAAACTCTGAAGAGGCATAGTAGTTATCATGGGGATCTGATGGTACATTCCTTGAATTCATTTTATTTCTGGCTGCGTACAACGTTCCAATTGAGTTTGATGAGGATGTATCATAAAGAAGGCTCCAAATCAATTTAAGAAACTCTGCCTGATTGTGGAATTCTTCAATTTTGGGTATTAGTCCTTGAAGTCGTTTTGATGGTGTTCTGCCATTTGATTTGCCAGTCTGAGCTTGTTTATGTCTCTCAAACGTAAGATAGTCCCCACCACTCAGAACCTTCTGTGGCTTTTCTGTGCAGCTTTCTCCCTCATCGTGGCCAGGAACAAATCTGTGAATAAACTCACAGATGTCAGTCATTTCATCATTGTACTGTTCGTTCTTCTCCAAAACGCCAATATTTAGTCTCTCTGTCTTTTTCCGCATTTCCTTCATGTATTTATGCGGTATACATGGTGGCAAAACTGGTTCAAAAACGCGAAAACAGGGAATAAACTCAATCCACTTCTTTGCGACAATATGGGCAAATTCGGTGATCAGGATAGACTGTTCCCTTGGGCCAGGCAGAAGTGTGGAAAACGGAATTGATTTTGCGTCTTGTTTGGGCCTTGAATCATCCAAAGTGTTCCCATCAACTCTGTTCTTGTAAGCACATATTTGGAACATGTGCTGACTTTTGTTCTGGTGTTTTGAAGACATAAACCTTACTCTTGTATAAAAGTCAACATTGTCACCAACGAAATAGTAGCCTGGATGCATCCTTCTCCTATGTGCATCAAGTGCCTTTCGCTCCTGGTCCAGATGCAGTATTGCATTTGGAGAGACCCCATGTTCTGCCACATACTTTTCTGCTTCTGAAACATTTTGTAAGTATTCACGTTCAAGAAGACCATCAGTTTCACATTGTGTTTTCCACTCATTTATGCTCACATCCCATTTTCCAGATAGATGCTCTATATCAGATATAGCTGTCGAATAACTTGTGCTGTCATTAGTCACACACAGTCTTCTAAATGCAGATTTCTTTGCTCCACCTTTTAGAAGTATAATGCTGTTTAAGTGTTGCAGGCCATTCAGTTCCCGGTTGTAAATAGATAACAGTTTTGAACCAGCTGAAACTATTGCAGGAAGCAGAGAATGTTCGTCCTTTGTCTTATTTCTTTGCAAAGAAGGGTTTGATGCAAATATTTGTAGAAGTGACCAGTATGCTGGCGCTTTCGTTTTCCATTCGTTTGCTATAGCTTCCCAAGATAGGTTTTGAAGATTAGATGCAGTTGTAGTCCTTAGAATCGAAGCTTCTTTCTTGGAAGATAGTGCAGCAATTTCTCCCTGAATTACACCACATACACCTCTTATTATGTAAGGTTTCAATACTTCTGTACCCAATATTAAAGTTGACAGATTTCTGAAGTCGGGAGCAGTAGTCGCAAGTGCCAAACTACATAAGGGATGAAGTACTGTCCTCTTGAAACCATCAGAAGTAGTAATTGTTACCTGAAATAGAGCACTGTTAAATATATACGGGTACTATAAAATTATATATATTTGTGGTTAGTTTTAATATTCAAAACAAAATGCAATGACAACATATCATAAATAATTGAAAGACATTTCCTATTTGCAGTCATGTGTATGCACTGAAATATTGTTCATATATTTTATACATATACATTCTTTTCCGAATAATTTCCTGTATTCATTGATACTATTGTTCTCAATAAAATGATCTTCAAGTAATTGAACCTTGTTGTCTCAATAATACTGATACATCGACCCTATCCTCAGATCTCGACCATCTCTCTTTTATCAATATATATTTATTTTGCTTTGCACTGTCGCAAACCTTGGACTCACATCTGATGTTAGGAGCAGTGAAAGTATATATAACACTTATACATGAGGTTGACATGTGTAAAACATACAGTCACTTCCTGGTTACATTGAAAGGTTTTAATCACAGTCAGGAATAGGAATAAGCCATGTGGCAACAAGCAATTTACGAAAGCTATTTAATCTTGTAACACCATTTGCCGTATTAAGTACCCTGTAAGTAAGAAAAGGAATGGGGCTCGTATTTAGACTACAAAGAAAGTGTTTGTTTTTGATACAGGAGATTATACCAATTATAAATATGATGGAGGTGTGTCGTGTATGAGGAATAAGCTACATGTTCATACACACTGTAGTGATCAATTTTATATCTTTTTGTCTGTTTAATAAAATCATGAAATTATGCCAGAATCTTTTGATTAATGCTTGCATTTTTCATGAATTTGCATAGAGAAGAGAAGTGAGGTTAAATCCCATGGTATAGAACTATGAATTTCCTCTTATTGTGCTTTAATTTAGATTCTTTTGCAATATCCCCCTATAATAAAATTGTAATAAGTCCATAATCATAAACCTTCCTATAAGTAATTTCCAGGAGAATTAAAAAATATGTGAGATAATGTTTTCAGTGCAAATGAAATATTTGTCTGACACTCTATGACAGTAAATATGGCATAGTATTGGTGGTTCCAAACTCCCTTCACAACAAAATTGGTGCAATTTACAAGTTTCAAAATGGGATAATATACTTACTCTGACTGAGTCGGTATCCTTGGTACAGGTGAAAGAAGGTGAAGTGTCTGTTTCATCGGAGATTTCTGATCTTCTTTCCTGGAATAAAGACTTCCTGAGCGAATCCCTTGATTCAGAATCGTCTTCGGATCTCAGTCGTTTTGTGACTTCAGTTCCACAGGACTGGTACAAACCGATGGCAGTCTTTTCAAAGGATTTCACAAGCCGGCACAAAGTATTGTCCACACGGGTGACCTCACGTAAACATTTTCTACACACAGTATGTGTAGAACATTCCCTGTTAACTGTTACTTGTAAAACCTTTTCAATCAGAAGACATGGCTCTGTCTTAGTACTTCCAATAAACAGTTTTCTCCTGTTCGATGCGACTTCAATCAAACTGCCACATATAGTGCAGACAGAACATTTCGATTTTGGAGAAATATTAAGCAGTTTTGATATCTTTGTTGGAGTTTTGGATACATCCAGTTGTCCAGCCATGGGATTAATCTCAAGAGATGCTAACTCTGAGCTATGGTGTTGAGACACTTGATACTTCCCCTGAGCTGCCCACACCACACTGGGAGGGAGTGGGGGTCGGGTTGGGTAGGGGGGTGTTGGGGGCAATAAAATGTCCTGTCACACACACTTTCAGCAGCGTGTCAGTAATGGGTGATAAGAATCCTTGCACGTGTAGAGACATTCCTAGAAATTATCGCTCTGCAGATTTGTTTAGTCTCTGAAAATGAAGAAAGTCTGAGGGCTCCTTTTTATTATATATATATTTTTTTACTATGAACGTTTTTTTCAGTAAAATATGTTCATTTCAGAGACTAGTTGTTAGTCTATGGTGCACTGTAACTCACGTGCTCTGACAGGGTAATGAGCCACTTTTAGTGATTGCTCTATTACTGGACAGAGACTGTACGATGTCTACATGTCCACGTTACATGAGGACTATATAGAATGATGTCAACATGACCCAACATAAAATGGTTGATGAAAACGAAATCAAAACGTAAAGGTAAATTCAGAAAACTCGTCATCCCAGAAGCGATCCAAGATTTTGAAAATGATGGGTCAATGCGATATAGTAACTTCACGTTGGGTCCAGTTAATGTGTAAAGTGTCTCCAGAAAATAGTACCCCTGTACAATACCCCTGCTCGTGGGTTTCTGGTAAACGTCAGAGACCTGCATCACTATCTGCGCAAATCAGGTTGACGCGCCGTGATACTGTTTAAAGAGGTGTTAAACCAAACTCACTCACTCACTCACCCGACCGACCGACCCACCCACACTCACTCACTCACTCACTCACCCGACCGCCCCTTCATTCACTCACTCACTCACCCGGCTGCCCGCTTCACCGACCGACCGCATGCTCGCTCACTCACTCACTCATTCACCCCGACCGACCGACCACTCACTCACTCACCAGACCGCCCCTTCATTCACTCACTCACTCACTCGACACCGACCGACCGACCGACCACTCACTCACATGTTTTAATACACCTGCCGTCGCGACCAAGCATGATTTCTTAAGCGCATACTGCAATAAATAGCTATTTCTTTCTTCAGTTGAGACTGGATATAGTTGTTTAGAAATGTTAAATACTTTGAGACTGGGACATCAAAGTACATATCCCTTCAAAGATTTGATTTTCACCCTTTCATGGTATTCAATAGACACTTGAAAGGTGCAGATAGTGTGGAATGTTTTTATGGTGTGTGGATACATTTCAAGGTATGATAGTTTCAATACCTTTGGTTGACTTCGTCACCAGTACACGACGTGCAACAGATAAACAGCTTGACCGTGAGAACTTTACCTGTGACTCATTCCAGTGACGCGGAGGTAAGGGGAGGGGCTTGATGATTAAAGGGTTCTCTGGGTCTTTTTGAGAAACTGAAGAGTCAATATGAATTCAAGTAACTTTAAAAGTGCTTTCAAAGTAACTTTAAAAGTGCTTTCAAAGTAACTTTAAAAGAGTCATTTAAAGTTTTATTTGAATATCAGTATGGAATGTCAGCATAGTAAGTTTCTTACCTTGACATTCTTTGCAACCAAGTCCAATATGTACCGATCAATCTGAAAAAAGAACATTTGTAAATATTTTGCACTGAGACATATAAGAAGACATATTTTGTATAAGGTTACCCCTTGGCCACAGATGAACACACTGTGCAGCTAGATGGAAATGCGTTAGACATAAATACAATCATGTATTTTCATATACATGTACATGTATTCCTATGTTGAAACTGCTGTCTCGCCTTTTTAATTTAAATGGAAGACAAAAAAGTCAAATAATACCAAGTGAACCTCAAAATACATCTTTGATATGCAGCTTAAAGCACTTCACAGCAAAATCACAACCTAAGAAAGTGTAATCCCAAATATAACATATGTTAAATTTCACAACCGTTGAAAACATGTAAAGATTAACACCTTCGTTGTAAATAATGAAAAACATATTTTTGTGCTTTTGTGAAAAGCCTCGGGACATTAACAAATAACCGACTATTCTAAGAAGTCCGGCCCCTTGCTCTTTAGGTCTGTAAATTTGCATTTTTCACTGGTAATTAATTTCGTTACCCATGAAATGTGACCAATAATCACGACAGCCAAATTCCTCCATGTCACTTTTACTTTAAAATAGGGGCGGTGGGGGTAGCCTAACGGTTAATGCGTCCGCTCGTCACACTGAAGGCCCTGGTTCGATTCCCCAAATGGGTACAATGAATGAAGCCCTTCCTGGTGTCTCCTGCAGTGATGTTGGTGCAGTGTTGCTAAGAGCGGCGTAAAACCCAACTCACTCACTATTTGCAAAACACAGCAATAATAAACCTATTTTTGTTTCACTGACATCCAGCGTAACATTTATACCAAACCGAACTTTATCAGGCACGTTCTTTAACGATATTCTGTTTACCACAGGATGCAAACATACAACATACATGTATATTAGCTTCAACAGTTTGCAAGTTACAAGAGTCCAGGAACGTTATCGCCCCCTTGCAGTAGACCTCTGTTGAAGAAATCCCAACCCTAGAGTTACGTGAGTGAGGAAGAAGCACCTGCTTTCTTAGCATCCCTTCCAGTAAAACAGGTTGCACTCCTCCCACAATTATCTCATCTTCCTGGGCTTGGAGAAAAATAACAAACACGTTCTTGAAGGCTTACATTGCATCATTAGGATTGCATTGCAAAAGGTATGCCTGGGTGTTTACCATCAGGGTGTGTAGAGCCGCGAGTTGCATAACAACATATATGCTGTTATTATCTAATGTCTGTTTTGTTAGGATAGACACACACGCAGATAACATGGAACTATTTCATATCATTTCCTTGTTCTGTAGTTCTTGAAACGCATATTCGACTAAAAGGGGAATATGTATGTATTTAAAAACTCAGACATATACATAAACATGTAGATGGTGGGTGGGGAGGAGATGTTATATCAGGGCAAGACAGATTGATGCAACAGGAGACGCACTCAGGTTTGGTAATCACACATATCATCATAATCATCATAAACATGAATCCAAACACTCGGTCAGCAGATCCGGACTCTAAACATGTTTAGTATTTGGCAGCAACATATGTTTGAAGTAAATATTGATTTAGTCAATTTCAGTTTCAAAATCAATAATTTGATAGGTCAATCATACACCCCTATTTTGCTCATATATTTTATTTCTACAATTTTGTTAAAATTGTCAAGATTGTACTATGTAGAGCCTCCAACAACATTACTCAATCAACAGGTTTTGAATGTAAAAATGATGGCCAATCTCACTATATGTTAATTCTGAGAGGCCCTGAGGGTTTTTTTCGGATTTAATAAGTTTACAACCTTTAAACGAAAAGAAATTCCTAAATGAGACACTGTGAAAGATGTACAGTTAACTCTTTAGCAACAAACATATAACTTTTTGGCATCTTCCTACCACATCCTTGTCTGGAATGCGTTATTACCCCGGGAGATGTTTTGTGCTTGATCACAAAGCTTATCACAGAGTTAAAAAGATGCAATTCAAAGCTATGATCTATGGATCAGTAGCAACATTCCAGCTTCATTCTTTAATGCACTTCCCCAGCCCAGCAGCTGAGGACTGCGATACATCAACCGTGTTCTCCCCAGGAAGTTATTTAACAAACGTTTATCTATCTTTTTTAAATATCGGCAGTTTCCGAGCTCACGTATTGCCCAGAACGTGATGGTGTACACATGTTACTCTGCTGACACACAGCAGGGTAGATAGAAGCACTTTCTAACTTCTGCTGATTTTCCATGCATGTACCTGATTAACTGAATCAATAAACGACATGCGATGCACGTACCATGAACTACCATGTGTGTATATGATATACGTACGTAGATGACATATTACTCTAGTTAAAGGGATGTTTTTGTATGGGATGTGAATTATTATTCAAGATGTCATTTGTTTACAACATATCCGAAGTCCGAAAAAAACTTAAGAGACTTTCAAAAGCTAAAAGCTTTCACTGGATCGCTTAGAACATTTACTTGGGTCTCGGACCAGCTTCTCTGGGGTGCTTCACATCTGTAGTACACAGTCCCTGAAACCTATGATCGAAGGTTCGAATCCCAGATTCGTACTGATAATGTTTTGAGGTTTGTCAGCACCACACCCAGAGGTCTAAGGCCTACATCACTGTGGGTTTCCCTCCCCACATCAAGCTGCCAAGTCGTCATAAATCTGAGATACTGTTCAGCGGCAAAGAAAACTGTCCTATTTAGCACCAGTTACAATATTTATTATATAGACCGCGAGTATTAAATTCCCCAAAGACTGCAGTCGCTGGTCGACACGTGGCCGATGGGATGAGCATCCGTCCAAATACCAAATTGCGAATTGTTAGGTTAATTCCTAGTAGGGCTGCGCAATATAACCGGTTTACCGGTATTTACCGGTTCAGACATGAAAACGATACGTATTGCAATACGCTGATCGAAAACCGGTATTTTGACTTGCATTCAGAAAACTTCGTAACACTCGGAAATCTTCGGATATTTCCTTTTTCATTTGTGCCAAATATTATTCACATTTTTTTTTTAATCATGAATAAAAGTTGTTATTAAAGCTTAATCAAGCATAGTGATTTTGCTGTGTATTTGCTCTATAAATCAAGCATTACCTCGATTATAAGTATTTTTTTTAGTAAAAATACTTCACGCAATATATTGCCATACATATCGCAATACATGCTTTCGCATCGCAATATGAAAATTATCTGCAATACCCACCCCTAATTCCTAGTATTCCTGCGAAAAATCGCACAAGTATGATTCTGACATTCCCTCGCTTGAAACCACTTAAGGCCAACGTCATTAACAAACATCGTTAGCGTATGTATTTATCAGATTGAAAGATGTTAGCTGTTCCCAAATATGCAGCCCCTAGACAACACATGACTAACAGACCCAGGAGCTTTCTGCAGGACAACGTATGGCCTGGTTCAGAGGTCAAGGTCAAGGTATACGCACGGTAGATCCAGACTAGGCGTTTACAACATGCTTACAAGGTTTATCAAGACGAAGTCCAGACGTGATCAAACAGTTGGGATATTTGGTCGTAACATAGACAGTAAATCTGTAGTGTCTGGTGAATGTTTTAGCAGGATTAGGGTTATGTAGACAAGTGATTCAATTCAACGTTGTAGATCTTTGAAAACCTTTGGCCTAGCAATTGGTATTTCACTTAATTGGCGACTATTTCAGGGAATACGCCATGCCATATTTCATTTAATTGGAGACAATGTCAGTGAATACCCTCTGCTGTATTTTCCTATAACACTTTCGCAATAAATCTCTTTGTTTTATAAGATAGGCACATCCTTTGTTTTATAAGATAGGTACGTCATTTGTTTTATAAGATAAGCACATCCTTTGTTTTATAAGATAAGCACATCCTTTGTTTTATAAGATAAGCACATCCTTTGTTTTATAAGATAGGCACATCCTTTGTTTTATAAGATAAGCACATCCTTTGTTTTATAAGATAAGCACACCCTTTGTTTTATAAGATAAGCACATCCTTTGTTTTATAAGATAGGCACATCCTTTGCTTTATAAGAGTGAAGGGATCCCAGTAGTCTGAGGTGTATCTCAGTGCTAGCTATGATAGGGCCGAGTACTGAGTTCAAATCTCCTGGCTTCCTGGCACCATACGCGTACTCGTGGGGTGCACCAAATTTATATGGCGTGTGCCAATATAAATTGGCATACAACGTTTTTATCTTACCGCCATGTTAAATGTACAAAATATTTTAGTTTATGTTCAAGATCGCTACCGACTATATGAAATGCAAGCAAAATGGCGTCTGCCTCTCGCCTGGATTTTTATAACATCAGTGAAACATATTCTGACAAGCATAAAACTGCTACAAAAAATGTTAATTATGTTTAGGCTGAGTGTGCAAACCACTCTATGTATAACATAGCTTAAATAAAGCAGTGAAAGTCGGTAAAATAAATCTGTACAAAGTGAACACAAAAAAAGCTGATCGAACGGTTTTCGAATTCCGGGCACGGCATGCGTCATATTATGACGTCATACGATTGTTAGCGCTTCAGCTTCTCTGCAGAGAGCTTGGCGGTTACCATGGCAGCGGGTAATATTTTTCCAGTTGTCACCCTCCTAAGAGGGTGACACGGAAACTTGTTAAATCGTCATTGACCAATGAAATTAAAGTATTTTACATGAAGGTAAGATAAGTCATTTTACTTTATTCTAAGAGGGTGACACGGAAACTTGTTAAATCGTCATTGACCAATGAAATTAAAGTATTTTACATGAAGGTAAGATAAGTCATTTTACTTTATTCTAAGAGGGTGACACGGAAACTTGTTAAATCGTCATTGACCAATGAAATTAAAGTATTTTACATGAAGGTAAGATAAGTCATTTTACTTTATTCCCACGTGTGCATTGTTTACGAAACTAGGTGCACAGTTCAACCACTTTTAATTTCAATATAATATTCTAATGCTTGACTGAACCATAAACTGTAAGCACTGTGCTTATTGACAGTACATGCCAAGCTACTCTTGCACCAAA